CGAGGCGTTATGATTTGTTGGTTATAGGCACACATAATGCGGTTCCATTGGGGTTTCATAGTGGAAGTCGAGCGGGAAGAGTACTGGGTATTGCTCGGTGGATGGCGTATCAGTTATGTCCTTTTGGGTTTGTGTGGTATTATATACTTGATCCATCGTGGTTATGATGATTTGCTTTGGTTCTAGACATCAAATTGTGTGTGCTTGTCGATTTTGAGAAGAGTGACGGGAGGTGTTTCATGAGGACCAGTGTTTGGATAGGGTCGCACATTGCAGCGAAGCTATGTGGAGGTATGATCCCACGGGATAGATTCTTGTGTTCTGTTCCTACGATATGTGACGGGTTCTCAGTATTGTGTTGTGGTGGTATTGGTGAGCTTGCGGAACAGATCTTTTATTTGAGTCATTTTCTCATGATTTGAGTATGTTCGGATTGTGGCTTTAGTTCGTATTGATGTGTCATGTCACTAGAGTAGTTGTGTTGGATTGGATGAGATTGTTGGGATCTATAATGGATACAAACGGATTCGATTTCAGCATGTTGGAAGGATAATATCGAGGTTCGGCTTAGAAATTGCTATGATCCTTGCCAAAGGAGGAGTGACTTCATGAATGGTTGATCTGAGGAATGGTTATTGACTTCCTACAGGTTTCATTTATCATTGGCAGTGTATGAAAGTATTGGAATGAGACTTTAGTTGATAAGAGATTTACTATCGGTATTCGGTTGTTGTGTGCAGCTGTTGTGATTAGAAGTTATCGCTACCGTGTTTGAGTTATGTGGTGTGTCATGTAATTGCACCTGAGGTGGCAGGTATGAGTTATTACAGCCGGTTCGGGCTTATACAGAGTATAGATGTGAGATCCTGATCTTGTAGATGGTTTCAGAAATGAAAATGTGGTTCTAAGGTTTATGGGCTAGGTTGGATTGTAAAATTTCAGTTACATTGTGTTATCAGACCTATATGAGATAGGGTGATGTGGGATCACCCCCGTGTATCTACATGGTAAGGTTATACAACGACTTGTTGGCTTTTGGAACAACTATGGGCATGTTCGAGGATGAACGTATGTTTAAGTGGGGGAGGATGTAACGACCCAACCGGTCGTTTTGAGATTTTGCACTTTGCTCGCCCGTTCTCGGGCATGTCTAGCCCTGTGTGATGTATTATGACTTATGTAAATCGTCGGTTACGGTTTTCAGGATAATCGGAATGAATTTAGAAGAACAGTTCTCAGTTTGAAGTTTAAAATTTGAAAGATTTGACCAAGTATTGACTTGTTGGTATATGATCTCGGATCAGAATTTTTATGATTTGGTTAGCTCCGTTATGTGATTTGGGACTTAGAAGAGTGGTCGGAATGTGTTTTGGAGGTCCACGGAAGGTTTAGGCTTGAATTGGCGAAATTGAAATTTTGGCATTTTTCGGTTGATAGGTGAGATTTTGATATATGGGTCAGAATGGAATTCTGGGAGTTGCAATAGGTCCGTTGTGTCATTTGGGATGTGTGTGCAAAATTTTAGGTCATTCGGACGTGGTTTGATAGACTTTATGATCAAAAGCGAGATTCGAAAGATTTTGGAACCTTATGCTTGAATTCAATGTGATTTGATGGATTCGATGTTCTTTGAGGTGTTTCAAAGATTGGTATAAGTTTGGGTAGTGGTATATGACTGGTTTGTGCTTTTGGTTGAGGTCCCGGGGGCTTCGGGGTAATTTTGGATGGTTGGCGGAAGGTTTGAAGTTGAGTTGGGACAGCTAAAGCATATTGTTGCTGAAATAACTGCACCTGCGGTTGGGAGGCTGCTTGTGCGATGATCGCAGAAGCGGAAGGCAGATAAGAAATTTGTGGTCGGATTTTGGTATTTTTGATATGTATGAACTCGTGGGGAGATAAGAAATCTATTGATGTAAAATTTATTGAATTTCGAGACATGGGCCCGGGGGTCGGATTTTGGTTAATTTCGGGATTAATGTTGTAAATTGATTATTTTCGCACGGGCTTCGTTCCCTTAGCATATTTTGACGTCGTGATTCTGATTTTGGATATTGAGGACGATTCGAGAGGCAAAGGCGTCACGGGCTAGAGTTTGGACCGGATTGAGGTGAGTAATGATTTTAAATGTTGTCATGAGGGTATGAAACCCCAGATTGCACATCGTTGCGCTATATTGAGGTGACGCATACGCTAGATGACGAGCGTGGGTCATGCACCATTGGGGATTGTGACTTAGTCCATCCCGAATGACTGTTTTATCGCATATTTGATTGAAAACTATTTGTTATCATCATGTTTGGGTTGAATGCCATATTTGGGCCTCGTGCCAACTATTTGGACCCTTAGGGAATTTTTACTAATATTTCCTCACTGTTTTGACTTTATATTTGTACTCAGTCATACTATATTCTACTGTTTTCATAACTCAGCCATATTTACTCTACTTTAATACATTAAATGATAACTTAAATGATATTTTGGGCTGAGCATCATGTTTTACTGTTGCCCGAGTGGCTTATGAGATTTTGACTGAGTAAGGCCGAGGGCCTGTGTTGTAAGGATATTTTGGGTCGGGCTGCACACCGCAGCAGTGATACGCTGATTATGATTATGAGGCCAAGGACCTGAGATTGTACGCCACGAGGTGGCTTGTTGATATGAGGCCGAGAGCCTATTGATTATGCCACGAGATGGTTTGATATTGCGCTTGGGCCGTAAGGGGGCCCTCCCGGAGTCTGCACACCCACAGTGAGCACGGGTACCCATTGTGATATGAGATATAGCCCGAGAGGCTGGTGTTGTTCCATGTTATTGCCCGAGAGGTGGATTCTGTTGACATTGTGCCCGATGGGCGAATTTTATGTGTTTATCTTTCTAGCTGCTTTTCATTTACCTGTTTAACTGTTAAAAAGGAGTTTTAAAGAAGCTTATTCTGAATAAAGGTGTTTTATAAGATTTCACTGTATCATTGCCTTTTATTGGGGTTACATTGCTTCTTTATAGCATGTTGTTGTGTTCTTACGTGTTTTCTTATAACTCAATCTTCATTTATTGTTATTACTCACTGAGTCGGAGTACTCACATTACTCCCTACACCTTGTGTGCAGATTCAGGCATTTCTAAACCCAGTAACGGGTATTGGTTGCTCAGAGGTAGAGTCATCAAAGTTTAGTAAGGTAGCTGCCCGACGTTCGCAACACTGCTTTTCTCCCTCTTGATTTCATTAGACTGTATTTAGTACATTTTCATACTTTCTATTGTATTTAGACCTTAGTAGATACTCGTGACTTGTGACACTCCGATGTCGGGCTGTATCTATTCCGCACTTGTTCTATTTCGCTAAATTTTGGGATTTATTTCTTATAAATGACTCAAATTGACTTATTAAAATTGTTAAAAATGAATTTGGGAATTGTGTTGGCTGGCCTTGTCTTCACGAGAGGCTCCATCACGATCGGGTCCGGTTTGGGGTCGTGACACTTCTCCCGAAGTACTACTCGCCTATTCATAGATTAACGCCTATATTCCTATGAAATTAATCTATTAAGAACGCATTAAGATTACGATATTTAATTAAGCACGGTGACTAGGTATATTCCTATCCTAACCACAAATCTGCCCCCCCNTCATATATTAGTGAATTATAATCGAGGTTAAGTTAACGTTAAACAACAATATTCATGGTTAAATCACAACTCCAGAACAATGGGTTTTTTAGCCACTCATAATACTAGCAAACAATTGGATAAGGTTTGAATAATTGAAAATACTAGAAAAGATAAAGAAATCTGAGATGTTTTTGCTCCCATATGTTTCTTGTGTGTATTTTTCCTCCAAAGTGGCGTCTCTCCCTTCAAAAATAGGCTTAGTCTTTCTTTTACACGTGTTGGGTAGGTCTAGGGCCGAATAAACCGTGTCCCTGGCAAAATAGGACAAAATCACGTTATCGGCGTCCTGGCTAGCGCCAGGCGCCCACCAGGGCGCTGCCCTTAATTTCTGTTCTGTCTCCCCCGCGCCCAAATGCCCATTTTTTTGGTTTTGTTCGTTTTGGCTCAAATCTTGTGCGTTTCGCCCCCAATTGCTCCCGAAGCATTCCTACACATGAAAATACTTCAAATTAATATAAATCATAGCATTCAACATCCCAAATTCATGGAACAAAAGTAAAATATGAGGCGGTATACATAGAAATATATATGCTTTAGGCTAAACATCAATATGTAAAGTAAGACATGATCTATAATAGACTCAGTTTGAGTAACGATGTCTTATGAAATTACTAGACCTTAAGCCTAAACTAAACCAAAAAACAAGTTCATGAAATCAGAATGGTCCAAGATCATATAATAAATCACATATTAATCCTTTAATCTAATGTGGGATAATCTAACATGCCTTAATTGAAATGTTCGTGAGATGGCTATAGTACTGAAATGATCGGACACTAAAATGTCCAAGAAACACATAATAAGCCAAGACTAGAGATCTTGTGTTCTATGTATCCCGCAAAAGAATGAGAAGTGGAATTACCCACTCTCAATAGCGACAAACATCGATGGCAAAGAGCAATATAATGCATGCCTTGCATTATGCTTAATTACGCTGGAAAAGTTGCGCCGCCGTTGTAACTTTATGTAATTGAACCCACGTGATTAAGATTATTGTAATGAACATGCAAAGAAAAAGCTATTTAACGACGAATAAAAGATAGAAAAATATAATTGAGCATGAGTTAGACAAAGAGAACGTGAGTGGGGACAAAATTGAATCACGGGAAGTTGAGTATAGTTTACTACAGTCCCCAGTTCTCTTTACATTCCTTTTGCTTGCACCCTTTTAAAGAACTTAGTTTACTGTCTGTTGTCATGTGGGGACTTTGTCTGTTTTGTTAAGCTTTTTAGAAGTTATGCACAGAGGCGCAGGCATTAGAATAGTATATATATATATGGGCTGGATATGAACGTCTCTCCATGCAATCTCGAGTAAGCTAGCCATTGAATATGAGTTTTCGGACGCTAATTTTATTACTACTTGCAACGGTGCTAAGCTCATATTTGGCTGAAGGGCAAATTGTGGATCATAAGCCAATCAGGGATAGAGTTACTGAACTTAATAGCAGTAGCTCCATAAGTCAGTTGTTGAATTCATTACCAATTCGTGTTCCATATGCCAATGCAAGGAACAGTACAACTTCTATGATAGGAGTCATGGGGAATATTGAAACTGCTGGGAAAAATAGGGGTCAAGGAGGCGGAGGTGGTGGTGGAGGTGGTGGTAATAGTGGTGGTGGAGGAGGCAGAGGAGGAAGTGGAGGGGGAGGAGGAGGAGGCAGCGGCGGGGGAGGAAGTGGAGGNGGGATGGGGATGTTGGGAGCATCCTCCGCCAGGCAACTAAGAGCTCCTGCATACATGATCAACTTATTCATGCAGCACTTCTTTCTTTTTACGTAAAACCAGAAAGTTGTTATAAGTGAAAATTTTATTTTGTGTTTCATATAACAACTGACACTAGTTGTTTGAGACAATTTTTTTGTCTCGCAGTTTTGTGGATCCATATTTCTGTGGACCCAGAAATGTAAGATTAGGTCCATAAATTTATGAGACAAAAAAGAGTAAATTGTATGAAACACAAAATAAAAATTCTCTTTAATAAGCGATTGTTTGGTTGTGACACTCACTTCTTCACTCGCAATATTTTTGTTCCAAAGAGTTCTATTAGAAGTCAAAAGAATTGATTGTTGTGTGGACCAGTAATGGAATATTGTCCATGCCCTCTGCTGTGTGTTTGAAGTACTAATCAATAAAAAGTCAACCTTCAATTTTAGTAATGAAATTTTAGACTCTTTGAATTAATTGCATGTGTTGCTTTATTGTCATTTTTCCCCTCTAAATGTTTGTTCCATATCATGATATAATTATTACCATATAAATTTTCTCCCATCGTGTTAGACATTAATTCATACGCTAGAAATAATCTGTCATCATCTAACAAGTGTTTTTACCACATTGTTTAATTAATTTCACTTATGGACGAATTTGTAATTTGTAGAACATCAAATATATAGGTAATTTGGATTCAATTAACATACTTAGGGATTTCAAAATGAAGCCCAATTTTGGTATTTGCTTGTTATAATGATGAAAATTTTAAATTCTTGCTAAATAAGTAAATATAAAAATTTTTTTTTTTGGTAAAACTGTAAATCATACCATTAACTCACAAAATAGTACACCTAAAGAGTACCCATTTTCCTCATCCAGGAAGAATAGGCCTCCGACAAATCAAGTAACTTCTAATTACAATATATTCTGTGCATTAAACTAATGCAGTGTTTGGCTTTCCTAGAGTTCTGAAATCTTTCTAGTCTATATATGGTCTCTCTTTTAATATATACCAGCACTATCTCAGTATTTACAGTTGTTCCTCTAAAGATTTTTCAATTCCTTGCTCTCCATACATGGTTTATCACTGCTTCCCAAATTGCTGCTATTAGTTCCTTTTGGAATTGTTTCCATTGTCTCCTCTTAATCTTTTCAAGAACAGCATGAACTTCTCCTTTCCTTATGGTGATCCCTGTCCATTGCTGGATGCCTTCTCGCACATTCCTTATCCAATTACATTCTTCAAATAAGTGCATGGAAGTCTTCGTAGCTTGTTTGTCATAGAGGATACATGTTTCATCTGCTATTGGAATATGAAGGTGTTTCATCCTTGCTTTAGTGAGCAATATGCCATGTACAGTTAACCAAACCACAAACTTGTGTTTTGGTTGAGCTAATGATGACCAGATCAAGTCAGCAGTGTTCAATATTTCCTGCTGCCCAAACATTGCATTGTAGGAGCTAGTGATCAAGTATTGCCCATTTGGTGTCAATCTGTATCTGCCCTGTATGTACCAATCTTGCATGATTTCCTTTAGCGCATTTATCTTCCTCCAATACCAGCCGCAGTCTTGAGGAGGTTTATGCATCCAAATATTTGTGTTGGTCTTCATATAGATGTCATGCACCCATTTCACCTATAGTGTATCTTTTTTCTCTGTCAATTACCATAACAACTTTCTCACTGATGTCACGTTCTAGCTCCGATAATTCTTGATATTCAACCCACCATATTTCCTTGGCCTACACACTTTTTTCCAAGCAACTAATGAGATCTTATTTGTTTCTTCTGTACCTGTGACGACCCGGTCAGTCGTCTCATGAGTTGTCACTCTGTTTCCCCCATTTTTACTTTATATTGCCTTGTCTATCGGTTCTATGAGTGATCAGGTTGGTTGGCTCGGGTTCGGAAAGGATATGATATGGTTTAGGACACTTAGTCTCTTTTAAGAAAGCTTAAGTTGAAAAAGTCAACCGGATGTTGACTTATGTGTTAGAGGGCTCGGATGTGAGTTTCAATGGTTCGGATAGCTTTGGGAGGTGATTTGGGACTTGGAAGCATGATCAGAATGTATTTTGGAGGTCCGGAGTAGATTTAGGCTTGAATTGGCGAAATTGGTATTTTGGCGATTTCCGGTTGATGGGTGAGATTTTATATAGGGGTCTGAATGGAATTCTGAGAGTTGCTGTAGTTCTGTTGTGTCATTTGGGATGTGTGTGCAAAATTCAGGTCATTCGGATGTGGTTTGGTAGGGTTTTTTTATCAAAAGCGTAATTTAGAAGATTTTGGAATTCTTAAGCTTGAATCTAATGCGAATTTGGTGTTTTGATGTTGTTTTGAGCGTTCCGAAGGTTGGAACAAATTTGAATGAGGTTATGTGATATGTTGGCATGTTTGGTTGAGGTTCCGGAGGCCTCGGGTGAGTTTCGGGTGGTCAATCGGACCATTTTATAATGTTTGGAATTGCAGAAAATTGCAGATCAGTGTTACAGAGAAATGACCTTCGCATTCTCTAGTGAGTCCTCGCGTTCACAAAGAGTTAGTTGATGAAGGCTGGGATTTAAGCCTTCGCATTCACGAGGAAGGCTTCGCGTTCGCGAAGGGCTGGGTGTTTGGTCATCGCGTTCGCGTGAAGTGGAGCGCGTTCGCGTAGAGGAATTTGGTCAGCTGGACTTGAGGTATTTTATTCATCGCGTTCGTGAGAGGGGTAACGAGATCGCGAAGAGTGGTCTGAGGAAAGCATCGCATTCGCGATGGGAAAGTCGTGATCGCGAAGAGTAACTTTTGGTCAAAGTTGATTTGTGCTTCGCGAATGCGAGGCATTGAAATTTCAGGCTTGGGCAGAATGTTTAAATAGTCGTCTTGTCCGCAATTTTGGGGTTTTTTTCACCATTGTTGAGCGTTTTTGGAGCTTTTTGAGGAGGATTGAAGAGGGATTCAAGGGAAATCTCTTGGAGGTAAGATTCATGGACTTAATACTCGATTCTGTTGTGAAATCTACCTAATTAATCATGGGAATTAAGCCTAAAATTGAAGAACTAGGGCTTGAAATTAGAGACCTAGAATTTGAGAGTTGAAGGGTCATTTGTGGTTGGATTTTGATGCTTTTGGTATGTATGAACTCGGGGAGTGATAAGGAATCCATTGATGTGAATTTTATCGGAATCCGAGATGTGGGCCCGGGGGTCGGGTTTTGGTAATTTCGCGATTTATATTGTAAATTGAATATTTTCGCTTGGGCTTCGTTCCCTTAGCATATTTTGATGCCGTGATTCTAATTTTGGATAGATTTGACACGAGTGGAGGCAGATTCGAGGGGCAAAGGCACCGCGAGCTAGAGATTTGACCGGATTGAGGTAAGTAAGGATTGTAAATGATGTCCTGAGGGTATGAAACCCCGGATTTCACACCGTTGTGCTATATTGAGGTGACGCACACGCTTGATGACGAGCGTGGGGCACTGTTGGGGATTGTGACTTAGTCCGTCCCGAATGTCTATTTTACCGCGTATTTGACTGAAATCTATTTGCTATCATCATGTTTTGGGTGAAATGCCATATTTGGGCCTTGTGCCAACTATATGAACCCTTAAGGGATTTTTATTGATATTTCCTCACTGTTTTGACTTTATACTTGAACTCAGTCATGCTATATTTCACTATTTTTACAACTCAGCCATGTTTACTCTGTTTTAACACTTAAATGATCTTTAAATGATATTTTGGGCTGAGAATTATGTTTTACTATTGCCGAGTGGCTTGTGGGGATTTTGGCTGAGTAAGGTCGAGGGCCTATATTGTGAGGAAACACTAATTATGATTATGAGGCCGAGGGCCTGAGATATGTACGCCACGAGGTGGCTTGTTGGTATGAGGCCGAGAGCCTAGTGATGATGCCACGATATGGCTTGATATTGTTCTTGGGCCGTAATGGGCCCCTCCAGGAGTCTGTACACCCCCAGTGAGTGCGGGTACCCATTGTGATGTGAGAGATAACCCGAGGGGCTGGTATTATTGACATTTTAGCCTGATGGGCAATCCTTTATGTGTTTATCTGTTTTATTTGTCTGTCATTTGCCTGTTTAATTGTTGAATAGGCATTTCTTGAAGTTTAAACTGAACTTATATGATTTTACATACCTTTACTGAATCACTGTTCTTACCTGTTTTACTGCTTCATTATAGCTTATAATGTATCTTATGTGATTTCATGCTCTCAGTCTTCTATTTATGATTATTACTCACTGAGTTAGAGTACTCACTTTATTCCCTGCACCCTGTCTGCAGATTCAGAAGCATCTGGTCCCGCTCTCGAGTGTTGATCTTTCCAACTCAGGCGGATCCGAAGATTCTCTAGGTAGTTGCTGGCGTTCGCAGCCCAGAGCTTCTTCCCTTGTCTTACTTCTCTTTGTTTTGGATTTGTATTGAACTCTGTAGACTTTCTTATCTCATTCCGGATTTTTAGATGCTCATTACTAGTGACACGCCGGTATCGGACTGTGTTGGATTGTTCTTCCGCATATTGTAATGTTGACTGCTTAAATGTTGGGTCATTTATCATGTTTTAGACTTAATTCTCATTGTTAACTGCTTAAAACTGAAATGGGTAAGTGTCAGCTGGCCTTGTCTTCACAAGAGGCACCATCACGACCGGGTCCAGGTTTAAGATCGTGACAGTACCACCCTACAAATATTTCCTACACTTCATATCCACTTATTTAAGGATACATTGAGGCAACATGAAGGCAAAAACCCCGAAGTTGTGGATTGAAAATAAGACTGTAAGTATGACTTGTAGTCTTCCAGCATATGATAGCTTCTTTGTATAAACAGTGGTGATCCTGTTAGTGATTTTATCCACTAATTGCTAATATTCTACCTTATTCCATTTCTTGGAAGTTAAAGGCAAACCAAAATACCTTATCAGAAAGGTGCCCTGCGTAAATTGTGTTATGTCCGCAATTGATCTCTAGTTTGGTCATTAATCCCAGCCATAAAGATGTTTGACTTTTCCATATTTGCTACCAGCCCAGATATATCACTGAAATGGGCCAAGGCTTCCATAACTC